GAATAAGCCTAATCAGTTCCTTCGTATAACAAATAATATCAGCAGAGATGCAAGTATTAACCCAGCATTTTTAAAGGAATTTCAAATACAACGAAAAGTGGGGCTTCCTTCCTTAAGGTATGGTGCTCATATTTGAAGTTGAAGTAGTGAAATTGTTGATAGAAGAACTTTTAAAGAAGTTTAAGGAAGATCAAACAAGGGGAACTACCTGTGCTATGAATATATGCCTTTTACACTTAAGTACAAACCTCATTTTAAATGTTCATTGCCAAAGCCTGTTTTAATTCCAACTTAGCAACAGAACTGTGAGAGTAGACAAGATACAACCAGATCCTGGGGATCTTGTCTGGCCAGGATTATTCACATTTCAGAAAAGTTGTTGGGAGACTGGCTGCCTCCACATCTGATCTAGGAAGCCATTTTTTGGTAGACTGGGGTATATTTGAGAGCTCTGAGCCAACCAGGAACATCACCATGACCTTGGCATCAAATGGGAGTTTTGGACTTGATCCAAAGACAGGTCAAATTTCCAGGGTGGAGACAGAGCTAAATAAGAACCAGTGGCTGGAGTTATGCCAAAGTTTGCCAGGAATTTATTCAAAAGATTTTGCATCAATGTTGCAGTTTCATCATGAACTTAAGTTTCTGAAAAAAGAGAGGAGAATCCCTTTACAATGGGCATATTTCCTTCCATACATGTAGCTGAATTACAAGTCTTCTCTGCAAATAGCACTATTTATATATAGGAAACAGAACTACTCAAGCTATATTATTAACTTTACAACAGTAGAAGAGAATAGGATCCAACAGTGTACCATGGTTCTAAAAATCAATTTTAAGTATAGAGAAAATAAGTACATCTTTAAGTTGAGTTCTTTGAAAACGGAAAACCTAAAACTTATTACCCAATTTTATATAAAAAGCCAGAGAAATCTAAACTGTAATTGCTATAATTAACAATGTTAAAAAATAATATTTACCATTTAAAAAAATAACAGGATAAATAATTGAAGTATTTTATAGTCACTCCCACAGCTAGCCCATTTGGCAACGTTTTGGGAAATAGAAAAGGGTACCCCTTCTTCAGAACACTTTACTGCCATCTGCTGGAAAATGGTTGGAGTAACTATGCAAATCTACAATGACTGAAGTGAATAGCATCCCTTAGAGTTGAGAACATTCAACTTTCACGATTACAAATAAGCAGTGACCAGTGGTCAGTAAACTTACAAGAATGGTTACCAAGTGGGGTAGAATTTGTAAGCAAATAATTAATCCCACAACAAATAGTGCACAAATAGTGCTATACACACTCCTTAGGGCATTTATATGGACTATTCCCTTTAATTTTCATACCAATCCAGAGTTTGGTTTCAAATAAACCATGGGAAATGCATTAAAACATTACTAAAACAAGTGTGGAACCTTTGGGATGGAAAAATATATCCTTCCACAAATTGTTCCTTGACACCACTACTGGAAACAAAGTAGATTGATTGTCGTTGGGATCATAATAGCATTTTTTTGGAGGATATACCACTTCTCTATCCCCATGTCCCCATCTAGCATCCCGTATAGGAGAGTAGAAGTATGTAGAGACATATTTTACTGGTCTTAACTGAACCTGCATGAAAATAATCTGAGACTAACACTAGCTAGTTTCACGTTACCCTTATAGGCATGAAGTTGGCATATGAACTGATAGAGGCCTGTGCCTCATTAAGGTTCACAACAGCAAATGTTCCTCATCAAATTAACCAGGAATATATTTGTGATAACTAACTTTAATCAAGATTTTTATCACCAGGGAATTTTTGCAATACCATATTTAGATGTTATATGTACAGGATGATGATTAAAACTTATTTTAAAGCCACACACACACACACACACACACACACGCACGCACGCACCTAGGAACTCCTTGTTATTCTTTGGCTTGAAACATTTCATTGGTATCCCATTACTTTGAAAATAAATTTTAAATTTTCTTGTATTCTTGATACATAAAATGACCTGATCTTTATATGTCACATCTCTAGATACCTTTAATTCCAACCACACCAGACTCCTTAGGGTGCTCTGAACATGCCATACTATTATAGAAAACTATAATCTTTCATACCTTATTCCCTCTGTCTAGAATACCCTCCTCCTTCTCCTCATCCATTTGAAGACCTATTTTCTTCAAAACCCAGATGAAGCGCTTTTATTTCCATGAAGCTTTCCCTGATCACTTCAAGTAGATTTAATATTCCAAATATTTTGAATGATAAGTGAGTAAATGAGTGCCTAAAAATGAATACCTACAGGTAACATGTATAGTTAGTATAGGTAACATGTATAAATTAGACCATTAGGCACTGAACATGGTACCTGGATGTACAAGGTCTTCATATATTTCTAGTTTCTTTTTTTTTTCTTTTTTTGATAAAAATGTTTTCCTTTTAGCCTAGAGAAAAATGGAGGACCATCTATAATTCCTGTCTTTAAAAAAGGTAATTAATTTTTCTTTTTCCTCTGAGGTAACTTCTAGCCTTGACGCTTTATAATTCTGTGTCTCATTCTAAAAATTCAAAATGTAGAGGCTACCAAAAAAATTTACCTGTAAACTTCTGTTTTTGTAATTCTGTATGCCTAAAATAACTTCCCATTTACAAGCTAATGTTAATAATTTCTTTTAAGGCCTTCTCTACTAACACCACCTGAGAGAAATCCCTCTCTTAACTTTGCTTTTTCTCACAAGCCATACACAAAAATAAGTCATTACTGAAACAACATGTAAGTATAACTTAAATTATGACCTTGCTATTGTTCTGTTCCATGTGCAACTTATCTAATAAATTCTTAGGGTAGAGACCACATTTTTTCCATTGATATTCTGTACACTTTTATACATAGTTGGTAGATGATGGCCTAGACCTGCAAGATCAGATCTTATAATGATACTCATCAATTCCTACTCAGACATGTGGTAGGAAAATAAGTTACTTACCGATTTCATATATATGCTTAGTGCTTGTTCATGTTTGCTTAGTGTAGGACCAAAATAAGTCTTATTTGACATGCTGTCCTATGACTGACTTTACATTAAATGAAATTCACTTTATCAGAAACTTACTACATTGTCCCTATTTTTTCTTAAGTTAGCACAAACTTGTGAAAACATACGATTACTGGCACACAGATTATTGTTTAGAAATCATTGTTAAAGTGAAGAAAGAATGAGACTGACTTTCTTCTTGTGTGTAAATACTCCTGCACTAAAAAAGCTATTTGAAAAAAACCCCATTCTTCTACCCATTATATTCAGAAATGCAGCCTCCCATATATACCTAGCTTCCCTCAAATACTTGCTGAATAAAGTTCTTTCCTCTCTTTTTGTTCTCACTCCCTATTCTCTCCCTTTCCATTTGTGACTGCAACAAACTGATCTTGACTTCTAAATGGTTCTATCTTTGCTTTTGACTATTGGTGTTAAAATATTTCTTTTACAAAATGCTATTTAAAATAGTTTGCATTTATTCTTTATTAGTGCCAATTTCACATAATAAAAAGTTGGCAACCATATATTGGTCCACAAAGATTTCTGCACTCTTACATCTAAAAGTCTGGAAGCTACTAATCTCTTAGTATGTTTTGGTGATGTATAGAAAATAGAACTATGTAGAACTGAAGGCAATGAAACTATATCTAGGGTTCTTAGGCTGAAAAGAGACATTTAATTGTGGCTCTCTTAT